CCCACAATCCCCCCCCCTCTTTCTGGCAAACAGTCTCCCTCCCTCCCTCTCTCTCTCTCTCTCTCTCTCTCTCTCTCTTTCTGTCTTTCTGGAGAGGTAGCTTCTGCCTCTCTCCCTTCTCTCCTTTCTCCCCTTTTTCCTTCTCCCCTCCCCATAAATTAACTATACTAAATTAACTAAATTTACTAAATTAACTCTATACTCAAACTCTCTCTCTGCATGATGTATCTGTCTGTCTCCCACTGCATTGGTATCCCACCCACCAAGGGGACCCGCAGAGGCCTCCGGGTGACCTGCCCCATTACCACAGCTGCCCCTCGTGGGATCGGTCCCCACCATCACCATGTCTTTATAAGCGATAACACTTGGTAGTTTGTGTTGTTGGTTATGCCTCTGTTTATGATGCTGGGCAAGCATGACGGGCTGAAACATTACTGTCCGCGCTCCTAATCGCAACAAGTGGCTGTGTATGTGGATTCCTGAAATGACTGCTAACTGTTTGAAAAGCAGCATGCTAGAAAGCGTTGTTCCACAATGGAAAGTTATGAACCGGGAAGTCCCATTTCTCAGGATCAAGAAATTGTCAACCCTTTCTTGGATAGCACTGGCTGCCTCACGTGTTTCTGGGAAATGCTGAGCACTGAAGGCGAAGGAGGCAGGCTCTACTAGCAAGAGACTGCAGATGCAAAAGAAAAAAAAATTAAATATCTGCTGAGAGCTATGCAGGAGAAGGGTTATGTGGGAGAACCAGGTTTCAGTGGTGATGAAGATGGCTTGTTTCCCAAGGAAATTGGCACAAACATAGATAAGGAAAATGGTATTTAGTTGACAAGAATGTTAGCAGAGACTTGTGAGAAATTAAATCTGCATTCCTGATAGGAATAATAGTTCTGTATTTATGGTCTTGTTGTAGAGCACAACTACCACATTATAACATAACATAATATAATATAATATAATATAATATAATATAATATAATATAACATAGTATAATGATCATTGTGTTCTCTGTTTCCTTTCTTGCTGGAGGTTATTAATTAGAATATTTTATGTTCCTCCAATATCTAAATTGTCTCTCTGTTTGCAGTATTTTCCCCATTGACTCTTTTATTGCAGTTTTTCCTGCTACACAGATATATTCTTCAGTGGATTTATTTCCACTATATTCTTTTCCTTAAATTGTGTACTTGCTCTTGTTAAGCTATGTTTGTAACACCTCTAAAACAACATTAAGTAGCAGTCAAAATAACAAGCATCTTTCCCTCGTTTGCGACTCTATGGAGGACTCATCCAATGCTTCCCGCTAGCTGGAAACTCTAAGCTAAAATATGTTTTAATAGCCTGAGAAATATCTGTTGATTATTGTCTCATGGGGAGGGGGCTGTGAGTTTAATATCGCCCCCTGATTTTGCTACTTGTGGAGATGCTATTGCATTTTTTGAATCTATTAATATAATAAATTATGTTAAAGAATTTAAAAATATAAAACCATTTTACATTGATATCACAATTCTTCCTGGTCAAGACATACTACTTTTAATGTACTATTTAGTATTTAATTTAATTGCATCAATTTTATAAATCCAGATCATTTAGAAAATTCAAGCACAATTTATTCTCACAGTTTGGTCTTGACGTTATACTCATTTCTGAAAATGAGTTAATACCTTTTCTCTTTCAGTTTTCTAGACAATCTTACTTATGATTGAGTTATCTAATATTCAAGATTAAGTATAAATTACTATTAAAACATTTGGTTGAGGAACATTTTCATCCTTTCTACACAGAGATAGTGAGTGTTTTGCTGCAAAGTCCTGGTTAGATTCAAACTATGCAATATTACTGTCTCAGTTTCCCATGTGTTGGGATTGCAAGCATGCCTAGGGAAGAGGTTTAAATTTTTATTTTTTTTTTCAGTAGAAAATGAACACTTTAGATTGTTCTTCAATATTTGTGGTTACATTGTCAAGTTATATTTTCCTATAAAGAGTATTTTTCATTCTAAATTTTTAAATAGAGCCTGAGATGTAGCTCAATTTTAGAGTAGAACCCTGGGTTCCATTCCAAACCTGTCATAAATCCAGCGCGGTGGCGCACACCTTTAATTCAGGCACCCTGAAGCCAGATGCAGGAGGATTAAAAGTTCAAAGCCATCCTTGACTAAACAGGGTATTAAAGGCCAGCCCAAGTTTCAAGAGATTCTCTCCCCTCCCCCCGCCAATATCAAAAGATGTATTGATTACATGGGACCGGGGAGAGCTTAGCAGAGGAGTGCTGGCTTAGCATGCATGAGGCCCGGAGTTTGTCCCGCATCTCACTATCTAGGTAAGATGGCACAGGCTAGGGGAACTCCAGCACTTTGTAGACACAGACCAAGGGCATCCTCAGCTACATAGAGTTTGAGGCCAGCCTGGGACACAATGAGATCCCGTCTTAAAACAAGAGCCACATTTTAAAATCTAATAATGACAAGTTGTTCAGTGAAATTCAAAATTTGAAAACAAAAATGATTTTCTTTGGTAGTGATTTCCCAATTGTTCCTTTTCATTTGGTTTTTGACCCTTCTCCTTAATAAAACGGGTTGGGGTGGGGTGGGGTGGGGTGGCGGTTTCCGTGTTTGTCTGTTCTGGTGAGCAGTCCCTTCAAAGGACTTGTTGAGTTAGTCACGGGTCTGCTCGTTTTCTATCTCGCTGTTTTGTCTTTATTGGCACACTCAGTTTTATCTTTCATTTCTTTTCAGTTTTATTTTTCTCATAGCTCTTTGAAATTTGTTCTTCATCTACTTGTTTCAAGGGCTGCCTGTATTGTTTATTTTAGTGGGCAGGTACAAAGGCTTTTGAAAGAGATGATCCTTTCTGGCTATGGTGGCATTCTGTTGTCCTCAAAAGAGCTGTTTAATCGCGGAGGCTTCCTTTTTCTTTTACTCTGTGTGTGGGCGACGTTTGTGCATGTTCCATGTATTCTCGCAGAGCGTGTGTCTTTTCCCATCAGAATTTGTAGTTCAATCTAGACCTGTAAAATCTTTCTGGTTACATTGCTCATCTTCTATTTCTTAACTTGTGCTCCACCTCAGACCAGAAAGCATAGGCATCTATAATTGTGGTGTCTCATATTTTCTCCCAAAGTCTGCACATAGTTTCTGCTTTATAGACATGAGCAGGGTGCAATTAGATGTAGAGATATTAATCATCTAAATTTTCATGACAAATCATAGCAGGATTTTGACGTGCCCTCACATCCCTTCTTTCTCCTTCGATTCTCATTTGTCTGATGCTGAGAGAACTTCTGTGCTATTTTATATGTACACACAACAACTGATCTATTCAAGATTGTTTTATATTACATGGCTCAATGATTTATTTTTCATTATCCTTTATTATTTGCCTCTGGATCTTAAGGGCAAATTCATAGTATCTGATTGTAATCACTTGCAGTCTTTTGGGCTTGATTCCTGGTGACCTTCACACTGATTCCTCTTCTTTTTACTATAGCCATGTGTCAAAGTTTATTGTAATCAACCCTTCTTTTCTATATGAGTGTACTGTGTGGTTCTGAAGGCTGTGGCCTAACTAGAACACACACAAAAATGCTCTCTACTCTCCAGGGTTTGGAGAGCACGTATATTTATTACAAAACACTATTATTTTTATAAAGCACACACACACACACACACACATTTTACATGGAGCCGATTAGGTCATCTGTGGGCACAAAGGATCGCAAGTCGATAATTTTCATAAAAGAAATCACGGTGTTGTCATTGCATTGCTTTGAGCTCCTTTTGCTAGAACTGCGGAAAAGTATCGTTCCTTATTCCTACCAGTGGAACACTTTCACCACCAACACAGACATCTTCTGTTAAACAAACATGCATGGAAACAGACAGAAACCCAACTTTGAGTCTGTGGTTATATAGCATGTGAGCCTCTCACTGTGAGATGCTTTGGAGGAGAAAGGGATGGTTCTGGTTTTGGAGAAGCCAAAGACAGATGCAGCTTCCTGCCCTGAGCACTAATATGACAGCCATTTTATGATCCTACTATCACTGAGGCCTCAATGTAAAGCAAATACAGAGCGTTGAAAAATGGAGATACAACAGTGATTAGATTGCTTTAATCTTTTTTTTTTTTTTCATGAGAAACTTGAACCCAAAGGAGTTAAATGACTTCTTGGGAACCTTCCGCCAGCTCTAACCTCATTCAGATAACTGTGGTCTAATCGTTTCTAAGTCAGGAGAAATTTTCTATTGTGTGCCATACACGAGTAAGTGAAAGTCAGAGGTTTTTCTCCAAATCTACAGCTGCAGATCAATTACACAAGTACATTACCTTACCGCCAACTTTGGAATCTTATTAGGTCGTAAGTCTACCACACTTCAGTGCTGTGGAGATGGAGACATAGAGGTTGCCATGGTGCAAGAGGAAAGCTCTGGCAGGCCAGGCGTCATCAGGGTCAGTCAGGACACTGACCACAGTAGAACTGGGAGAGCAGGAAATGGGATATTGTGGAAAAGCTCAGCTATCTGCTGGTGTCAGGCAGACAAGTATGTGAGTGGACCAGAAGCAAGTGCCTAGATGTGTGAGTATACAGGCAGGGTGAATGAGGATAAGCAGGTATGCACTGGGGCGTGCATGTGTGTAAATGCATAAATATTAAACTGGGAGGCACCTGATTTCCAAAAGTGGATGTGGCTATTTGGCCCCAGGAAAGTTTTGACTTTTGAGTCTAATACCACCTGATGACATTTTTTTATCAAAATGAAACATACATAATTTTTTTCTATGATGGATGGATTGTTCAATGTTAGTACAGCACGGTAGAGTACTGCACAGTCGTTCAACGCATGAAGTTGCTCCTTACATTAGATTTGGGTTATGGGTCACCAGCTAAGTAGGAATGGGTGCTCGGAAGGAGGGACTTAGAGAAAGGAGACGACAGTAAAGAAGGATGGGATTTTTATTTAAATCTATCCTTGATACATTGAAAGCTGAGTGCATTTATGATAAAGGACTCAAGGAAGAAGTCCCCTCTCCAGCTTCACCACTGCGGCCACCAGGCTGTCATGTCTTCTGTTGTTACAATGCAGGTGTCGTGACTGTCATGATTTATATCACACAAGAGAAATCTCGCGGCTACACATGAACAGGTGAGAACTTTAAAATGAGAAGAAAATATGAGAACCCAGTACTTTCTTATTGTAAAGTTTTTATTTTATCAACATCCTGGAAATACTTTATTTCATTTACAATTTTTTAGCTACACAATGCTAAAGGGAAGTGTGTTCACCCACACATAAAGCAATACGGCTTCAGAATATAACTCTTAAACATATAGAACTTAAAATCTACATCCCAAGTGGCCGGCTGGCGATGTTGTGAAGATGCTTGTGAAGGGTGACATACTTATTTCCTATGGAAAAAATAAAAAGCATTGTTTAGAATGATTATAATAACCACATGCTGTAATTAATTTATTCAGGAAATAAGTTAATGTCATTTAATAAACATTGTTTAGCCATCTCTTTACCAGTAAATTCCTCAACATTTTTACTTGAATTTATTTTCATTTAAGAATTCTTTAAACTATACCAAAACACTATTTATAAATAGTTATGAAAATTAAGGTTTACCAATAAATGACATTTTGATATGATTTTTTTTATTTGTGCCTTTACCTATGTCTTTCTTTCTTGTTTTTTTCTTTCTCAATGCTGGAGACTGAGTCAAGGACCCTGCATATGCTTGGCAAGCCCTGTACCCACTGAGCTGCATTCTGGCACACAGCTGGGCTTTTAAACTAAATAAACAATGCCACATATAATGACATTTTATTCAAGTGCCAAACTTATAGCATCTTAATGTGGTATTAGTATGTGATGACTTAATTCTTCTCCATATTTCATTCATATTGAGGTTGCTGGTGCTTTGTTTATCACAGTCACCCAGAGAATGCTTTGTGAATGTAAAAGTGGATAGAAATGTCAAGGGAAAGTTAAATAGGATGGCACTCTTTTTTTTTTTTTTTTTGTTTGTTTGTTTGTTTGTTTTTTGAGACAGGGTTTCTCTGTGGTTTTGGAGCCTGTCCTGGAACTAGCTCTTGTAGACCAGGCTGGTCTCGAACTCACAGAGATCCGCCTGTCTCTGCCTCCCGAGTGCTGGGATTAATAGGATGGCACTCTTAAGTGACTTCAGTGTTCATCATATGGATTACACAAGATGCTTCTGCACGGCGGAACAACTAATGGCTGTTTAACCTACATTTATGAAAGTTTTGATACACTTCAGGATGAACTGAAAAACACTTACTTGTCAGTGATTTTGGTCTGAATCAGCCAGTTGATGAAGTCTCTAGTGGCAAGATTATCGAGAATCGTGTTCATCTCGTCAGAGAAGGAGCCGTCAGCATGTCTGCGGCCGAGTTCTTCTACAATGGTGACTTCCTCTGGGAAGCTAAGAAGAGCGGGTTTGATGTTAGTGCTTGATTATCTTAAGTAAATCCTTGTGGGTTGCTGATCTTTGGTGAAGTATGAGAGTTGTATTTGAGGGTTTTGATTAAAAACCCCTCATAGAAACCCACACAAAGCAGAGACCATTCAGAGGCAGAAGGCTTTAGACCTTGAACGCGAAAGCAAGCTTATGTAGCTTCATGCCCCTTTTCAACAATTCATGGTTGCCTTAAGTAGTTTCATTAGTTGGCAACACAGACGCCATTGTTTAAACTAATCATTTCTCTGATTCACCACAGATGCCTTGGGCCCCGTAGAACCAGTGACTGTGAAAGCAGCCTTGCAAAGTGTAAGGGATTAAAACTTCGTCTGTGGTTTTATTTGGTTTTGGTACTCATTTGCCACAGTGGAATTTTGGGTATCTGTTACAGATTGATGGATATCCATCAAGATGCACCACTGGGTACAGAGATATGATGGTCTGTGCTTACACATCAGCCTCCTTCCCATTTTAATCTTTCTCAGAAAGCATGTTTTAATTCTGCTGAAAAATTAGAGTCCAACGTAAACTTTCTCCCGCTTCCATTTCAAATGCAAATCAAAATGGTCACAGGAAAATGAGATGCTTCAGCATCTATGTATGCTTAAGGTCTAAGCATGTAGCTAAAGAACTTGCTCTTATTTTTCACCTCGAACATTGCAAGGCTATCTATATGATGGCCCTATAAAAGCTAAATACATGGTTAGATGTGATCAATGTCTCTACACGTTTTAGTATCTAACTAACACATGAATATTAGTTGAACAAATATGGAACTCCAGGTCAGACTATGACCATTTATTAAATATTGAAATGCTCCTACGTTTTCAGTACAATTTTTAAAAAATTTTCATCGAATAATTTGTTCCCCCCCCCCCCCCCCCCCCAGATTTCTGCATTAAGGAAAGGCATCAGGAAAGAAACCCGAGACTTACTCTCGCCGTCCCCTGCCTTTCACCAGCCAAGCAATGAATTCCTTTGCTGCCTGGCCTTCCAAGTAAGAGCTCACATCGCTGGTAAAGGTCCCTTCAGCATGCCTCTCAAACTCATCATGACGTTTGGCAATGTTGTTCCTGAAAGAAATGGGGAGGTTAAATTGAAGCTCTGTCTCCTCGGCAGGGTGGCCCTCCCTGAGAAGCGGTGGGAACTTCAGGCTCATGGCAAGATGGCAGAGGAGTTTGGGAGGTGAGGGTGGCTGGATGATTATTCTGAAGTTGCATCAATGATCTGGATAGAAAATTAGTGAGAAAAGTCTAATGAGGGGCTAAAACGTCCTTCCCTTTTCCAGGGTGTCATCTCTACCCTCTCTGCTTCCTCATGTCATTGGTTGTTAAAGCTTCCTTTAGGTTTTGCTTTATCCTAAGAGCAGGTAGGCTGTCCACTAGGCAATGCAACTTAAAACCAGATTAGGAACCTGTTAGTAATGAACATCCAGTCAGAGTTAGCTAACGGATTTAAGGGCAAACAAGGGATGGTTTTGAATCATTACGATAAGAACTATTTGATAACGAATTAAAGAAAATACATGAACCAGCAGGAAAGGAGTGGAGGTGTGCTTTTATCCCCTGTCAGTGTGTTCAGGGACCTGGGGGAGCCAGAAGGAACTGCTTGCTGGCTGTGCATTGCCCTTGGAAAGTCCATCATAGATGAATAGACAGCCAAGGTTATAGGTGGCCTTGTGCTATTTTTGCATGTTGCATCATTCCCATTATGAGGTTCAGATCCCCACTATGAGGATGAGAACAATTGTTTTCAACTCTATTAATTTGTGTTTTCTCATAGTTCAGACATCTTACCTATAATCATTGGCAGGGACTCGGTAGCTCCTCAAGCATACTCTGACCACTATGGCTATCTTCATGGCTGCTGGACTCTCTGCTTTAAGGTTATCTATGCACTGTCACCTCTTCTCATTCCCTCTTCCTCCCCTTTCATCCCACCCAGACACATCCATGTCCTTTTCCTGGTTTTTAGATTTCTTCAGCTACTTGGTATGCATAACTCCCTTTCCCAAGTGGGCCATCCTCCAAAGAAATTGTGAAATTCCACAATCTCTGTGAAACTCTTGTGGATAATTTTCTCCAGTAGCCTAGGAGTAGCAAAGCCCCCAACACTCCTCAAACAAAATCCAACATTAAAATGTATGCCTTATGATGGGTTTGTGTTCCTGTTTGCTGCCTTCTCTCTTTACGCTCTGCCACTAGCTAGGCTGTAATTTTAAATGCATGTCTTGGATTTTATTTTACAAGAGAAAGAATGCATCTATTTTCATACTTTACCGATGATCAACTCAGCTATGGGATAATCTTAATGTGATTATAGTCATTGGCTTGAACCCCACAAAGGCACATTGAATTTGCTCTAACTTTAAGTAAGAATTAACTTTCCAACCTAGCAGGTCCCCAAAAGTTAGTTTCCAATTTGAAGGTAAAATAGATGAGAAGAAATATTGCTAAGACTAGTGTTTGTTTGTGATAATAAAATGTCTATGTTATATTGGTGTGTAGATAAGGAAATTGAAGAAGCGAATCATGAGAGTTGTAATAAAGGGTAGTACCCATAGCCTCAAAATCATCCAAATCAAATAAGCCTATTTAATGAGCATGATAACCTCAGAGTTAGGAGAACTTCTTGATATGCATTTATCTACAATATGGGGAACAGATTTAGACTCCTACCTGTTCCTCTTGGTGTTCATCAGCCACTGCACAAAATCTTGGGCACGGCGGGAGTCCAGGTATTTGCTGTAGTCACTGGTGAATGTGCCCTGTGAATGGCGCTTGTCTTCGTTTATCTGGTCAGGGTCCTGCAGCGGCTCTGTCTGGGAAGCTGGGAATGATCTGCAAGCAGCCATGATTAAGTAGCATAAATAATAGTCCAGGAGCAAGGACCCTAAGGGTAAATACTCCCTGAGTATATACTCTATAAGCAGGCTTATTGAGAGGATCCCTCACTGCCAACTAGAAGGCCCCTTGCAGTAGTGAGGTTGATGCTTCTGCAGACACTTTAATTTCTAAGGGACCTGAGAGGGACTTCAGCTGCTTATGAGGACAGCTTCATTGTATTGGAAGATACTTATTTTGAATTCTAGCAACAGGTTTCTCAAACAGGATGAAACAAATCTTTTCAACTAATTAATCTACTCATGATTATGCTAATATGACAGAGGAGAGCAGTGACTTGAATATTTTAAAAGTTTAAGACTCTGAAATCATTTGTTTGGGCAGCAGATCTATGCCCCCAATTTTGTCTTGCACATACTAATGTTAAAAAAAAATAGCTCAATTACTTAGTTATACGGTAGCTAAAGATTGGAGAAAGGGACAAAAAAACACCATCTGCTAGTTTGAAAATTCCTGGTGGATAGTCCTATGTAACTGGTTGGCATGGTAAATATACAGGAATATCAGTGTAATAACCACAAATGATATACTATTTTTACTCATTGAATTAAAATTACTAAATATTAGAGAGGATAAAATATTCCTCTACTGGTTATGGGAAGTGGCATGAACTTCCAGAACGCGTCTGGAAGGCAAATCAGTAAGATCTTTGTATAACTCTGGTTTAAAGTCACCCAAACCCTTTGACACAATAATCCCATTGCCAGAGATATATTGTTATCACCCCAGAAAGTATTAAGAAATGTGGGGCAAAGTGCATGTGGAAACTCCTGACTTGTAATTTCCTTTATGGAAAAATTTTAAAACTTCTTAAATGACCAATAGAAGATGAACAGCTAGATAAATATCATATATTTATGAAGTGAAAAGTATTCAGCTCTTATATATAATATATGTAAAGAATATTATAATAAAAGAGAAAGTTAACAGTATAATTCCAAGAGGAAACCATGACTTATGGCCATATAAACTGAGGGATATTTGTATAGTTTGTAACAGGTAGAGGGGAGGGGCTTGGGGAAAGGGTGAGGAGAAACTGATATAATGCTATTTTAATTAAAGACTTATTTTAAAAGTTTTTAGAATCCAGGAAAGCAACACAATATATTTTTATATATTCTGAATTGTTGTGGGTTTCTTTTGGATAGTAGAAATTTGAATACTTAAAAATTTTGCATAATTTTAACATTTTGCATTTTAGACATGTATGCTTTTTACAATTAGCAAAGACTGATATTAGTTTCAAGGACATAAAAGAGGAGCTTAAGCTGAAATATTTAAAACAATGTAGTTTGTCGTGTGTGAGTAATGAGTGCTTGCAAAACCGCCTGAAGACTCCAAAGGACTATCGTTTCCCATTTTCATGATGAATATACACTCTCCTCTGTATTTGAGAAAAACCCGCCCTTTCTTATCACTGTGCCTTCCGTATTTCAAAACTGTGCAGGGAGGCCATACCTCTGAACCACTGAGACCCTCCTCACCAACCTCAGCTCTCCAAACTTTGTTCTAACCACATTGACAGGCTAGGTGGAGTCTACAGGTGAGTACCTGGGTTTCTCCTCCGTGTCCGGAAGGGAATGCTGCCAGCTGCCGTGCACCAGCATTATAAAAAATCCAGCCACAATGTAAATGTTCTTCATTTTTTTTCCTGCCTGTTGGAGCACAGGGTAGGGGGTAGGGGGATGACAGGGGAGCAGGCAGTTCAGATGAGTTCACTTTTGACTAAGTAAAGATTATCCACAGAAAAAGGTTATCCTGCCAATTTCATTCTGCCTATAGTTTCAATTCCACCTTAACTTCAAGTAGAATATATCTCTCCATGAATTTTGATAAGCAAAAAAAAAAAATCACACAAAGGATATGTTCTACTATTAGGCTTTTTCATTAATGTAGGACAGTTCTGTTAATGTTTAGAAGGCTGGCTTCCAGACTTGAAATAAAAAAGTGTCCACAATAAACATTTAAAATACCCTCTGAGGATGATACGCTGCATATGGTTAGCCTGAGTGGCACCTTATCCGTAACACCACCCCCTTCACTATCAGTCTGGCTTTCAATTAATCGTCCTTCACTTCCAAGCATTTACATTATACTGCATTTCAACCATCTTAAAGCTGCCTCGGGCTACAACTTGGCATACCAGCTGTCGGTTCAGATGTATTATTCATTTATATTTTAAATAGTGTAACTTGGTCTAGACTTTGTAATTATAAAGCGGCCAACAGATTTGAGGTATTTTAGGGTGCTTTGACCTGTTCTAAATTAAAAGAAAAAAATCATTTTAAAGACAAGCAATTTGCAATAAGAACTAATGCTCCTGGCAACTTGAACAATCACAACTAAGAAATTAAAGATTTGTATCCTGGGGAAAATTAATGCTTGCTTTTGAAGTCCCAGAAGTCTCTGGGTTATCTGGTAATGAGGCTCAGTCTGGGAAATGACATTTCCCACTAATGACACTATAGGTCTCTCTGTAGCATACACCTGGTTTCTTGTCTGTTTGTCAAAAACAGATACCCCATGAAGCCAAAAGATACCAAGTGTGTGATGATGAGGATGGAGACACACATGAATGTGTACCAAGGATGCCTCTATGGAGTAAGCTCTTGTGTTTTCTGAATTGAAACCTTGAGTCCACTATGTGTCAAGGCTGCTCTCTGCCACTTTCGAACTCCAGCGTTTTATTTTTGAGAAGTGGGAATTTCAGCCCAAGTTTCATTATACTTCTCCATAAATAAATCAAATGAGTATTTTTAGCAAATGACATTTGGTTAGGAATAAGGATTTTTACAAATATTATCATTTTAGAACATCAATCTTTTCTTTAGCATCTCAGCCATATTTACTATCTGTCTTTGGCAGTAAAACAGAGAATGTCATACCTGCCGTGGTAATGTTCTGAAATATAAAAAAAAAATCCTCATAGATGAGCTGGCCAATCAGACAAAGCAACGTAAAAGAAACTAGGCATTCATGCTTCTTGATCATCAACATCAGATGACTTTGGCACATTTCATTGCTTTAGCTTAAACAGTTGGCAAATTTTTAGAAGCCTGTTCTATTTTCAGGTAATGTTTTTGATAATGCCTCTCACTGGTCACATCTTTTTATAATACTGAAGAGTTAAAGCAAGCACTCCCCTTTAGGGTTATAACAGTATTGGAAAGCCTCTTGTAAAGACTGAACAATGCCAACTGAGTCCTAGAGAATTCCTTCAACCCAAAGTCCCTGAGGGTTTTCCGATAACCCTGGTCATGTTTATCAGGGGCACAATTAGAGCAGGTAACACTCTGAGAACGTATGTCTTCTGATGCAACCCAAAGGATTCTCTTGGTATAGCTCACTTTTTGAAAGTCAACAAAATTGTGAGGAGACATAATACGATTAATTAGTCAGTTTAATACTATTGTTGATGATTAAGCATATTATTTTAACATCAAAATTTTATTCAGTAAGGAATCTGCATTTACCTCTCTCCTGTTTTTGCTAGTGTAAATAGAGAATGTGATATTTTTGAAAAAAATAAACAACAAAGAAAACTACCACAATTTTCCAATAAGAATCGAAGGGAAACTATAGCCACAGTACTACCCCCTATAAAAAGTCTTAGAAAATAATAATCTATTTGTAGGAGAGAAAAGATCATATTACTTTCCTAGAATATAATGGTGTTGTAGGATACATAAATACTTTCTCCTTCCTTGTCCCCTTTCATAAGGAGTCCCTAGAGTGTGTTCAAACACCCTCTGCTTGATGGTTGATTGTTGCTGGCATTTGTGACCTGGAGCTTTTTGTATATGAAGTCAAATAGGGACTTCAGAATATCTGATTTGTTTTCCTAAAGAGAGGTACAGGATTCCATTCCAGATGTAGCTACTTTGGATTTTATTTACAATCATAGGTCCTCAGAATGTTGTAAATAGCTGCTAGTTTATAACCTACAAAGAAATGCCATCATCGAAGATGCTTGTTTTCTGCACCAAGGATACCAGCGTTTATTTGCAAGGGTTGATGCATAGACCTTGATGGTTTGAAATGATTATTAGAAATTTGGATATTTGAAAGATGGTATCGAATATCTTCTTTTGGAAAACAAGAGTTTTTAATTGATAAAGAAATTGCTGTTTTGGTCTCATAATACATACTTTCCTTGTGAAATTAAAAATCCCCTTCTGTTCAAAGTAGTGCGTACATCTATCAAATCCAAGGGAAAAAATATTTATTTTTCACAGTGTTTACTTATTTGAATATGCTGTTCTCATTGTAACAAGTGCATCGGTCTGAATCTTTGTTTTTTTCTTTCTATTTTATGCCTACATTATTTCTCTAAGTAATTTGCGGATTCATTATGTCAAAGTAGGTATAAGTCTAGTCAATAACATTTTTATCTAAATCATGTCCGTCATATTTCTATCAATAAGGTAAAAGATGAAAAATCAATATTTTCATTCATAATACTTAAAAATACTTAGCTGCCCAACTTCCTCCAAACAGGCTTCAGTTCACAGCCGCGCAGTTCGCCTCTTACCTTGTGTGACTGAGCCGAGAGCAGGTGCCGATGAAGGGAACCCACTTGGGAACTTCGGAGGTGTTCTCTGCCCAAGCTCTGCACTTCTGCACCAGGGTGCCGTGCTTTTATATATTCTCCGGGCTGTTTAGCCTCGCAGATATTGTGCTGACAATATAAATTTCTCATCTGTAAGTAATGGGGTTTTGTTCAAATGATTTCACTCGCCCACTCGCTTTGCTCATCTGCCTTCCCCGGCTGATACTGGGTTGAGACTCAAAGACCCGGAAACTTTTTATTTACTCTTGTGCCCTTCTGTTTGGGAATGGAAAGGGCAGTTTGGAAATCTACCGTCCGACATGAAAAACCACTTACGCTCTCTGAAGGGAATTTTGACGTCAAATAAGCCGAGTCTCGTTTGAGGGTCTTGTAGTCCTTTGGCTTGCTATTTGGCCATCACGAGTTCCTGAATAATGGATTGATCATTCATCTAGGCAAACAAATAACTCACTAGCCCACATGTATCAATAAACCTCTCGTCCACATTATATGGAATAAATTTGTGTTCTTTTTGTGGGGACTTTTTAAATGTCAATTAAAATGTAATGAGCACCATATTAATGAGACACAGGAGAATGCAAAAATGAGAATATCCAAGGTGCATGAGGCTAAAGGTTTTAAATCTAGTTTTATTGAGAAGGGGTGGGGGCAATAGAATACAAAAGAAAGCTATGTTAGGGGAACTTTTGAGATGGGTTGCAGGCTGTTACAGTTTCCAACTTCCGATATGTATATAGGGCCTTACTAATTATAGTATACAGCAGATACAATTCTGGTCATTTCAACAGAAGGAAATAGAACATGGAAAATAACCAGGATGTACTAACAGACAGCACGAAACTCCTGCAATTATAAAAAGATTTTTCCTTCCGCTGTCATCAATAAGCTGTGTGACTTTGGTCAAGCCACACATTCTCTTTGTGACTCTATTGCATACTTGGAAGAAGAGAACAGTGGTTAAGCATTTCTCTAAAGTAAAACTCATATTCTACATGACAATATCACCACAGCATTTGCCAGCTAGATCTCAGTATCCCAATGTGTCAGCTCCATGCTTTATGACTTACATGGAAACAGACCATGGATGCAACTGGAGAAGTACTCTGAATGAACTTAATTCTTCAGTAAGTACATTAAATTAACTGGAGGATGTCGGTATACATTCAGAAACAGGTATCAGGCTCCATGTCAGTTGGGAGACATTACTGAGGGGTTTTGTGCTAGTCTCTATTGATGATGCAGAGCCCTGGAACCTAGAGGGAGGTCCAAATATCAACATATATGAGACCCTATTAAAAATGGAAAAGGCTCATGGCCCAGATCTGATTTGCAGAATCAGAATCTGCATTTTATCAAGGTCCCTAAGGAAACCTACAGGCAGGTGAGGCTGAAAAGCACAGCTGAATAAATCGTCCATCTCACTCTCTCATTGGTGCTGCTGGCTGATCCCAGGACAGCTCTTGGCAGAACCAGCAGATGGGGTGAAAGAGCAGAGAATGACGTCCAGCTCAGGGTCCAGTAGAAGTAACCCAAACGTAGTGATGAGCTTGACCATGTGGGACGGTTTAGCACAGATGAAATTGCTCTTTATGGCTACGACCTTCAGGTGCACGACAGCCGCACCTTTATTAAATGTGTGTCACTCCTTTTATTCTGTTGTCCATTTCCCTCCCCATTTCCTCTTCTCCTAGTTTCTCTCTCTCTTTTCCCTTTGCAGATAGTATCAGTTTGTGAAGCACTCATAGCAGGGAGTTCTGCAGAGGATGTCTAAGATGTCTAAAAGCCAAAATTATAGCACCAGAATCTTGCGATAGCTCACCACATTGTGCTTCTCTTCTTTGTCCCTTATTTGCCTTCTGTTATGTTAGAAGTAATCATCCCAGTTTTTTTTTTTTCCCAAGGAAAATTTCTCTAACTCTACCTCCAACCTACTAATTCTGGCTCATGGAGGTAAGGACACCATGGACACCATGAAGATAAGTCTTATGATAAGCCAGGGGCATTCTGTATAGTACACTTCTCTTCCTCGATGTGCTAGGAGAATCAAATCAGCTTCTTAAAAGGCATTTTTGTTATGAGAAAATGTAGGTGCTAAGACAATTATTAAACTCAATTTAGTGTGCAGCAGATCCAATGATAGCTTTAACATCCATCTCTACTTTGCCTTCAATTCCCATCATTGCAATTGTTGAAACATTTAGATGTTGGGAAAGAAAAGAAGTAGATATGTATGCCTGAGATTAATATTAAAAAGTTTGCCTTGAAACAGAGTAGCTCTGTGTTTGGGAGGGTGTCACCTAGAATTGTTCTATTGGTGGTAACATGGAGACCTTTGGTTGCCTGTAGCATTCTGTATTGATAGATATGATTTGCCTTCCTGGAAGGTTGGTTTTAGTTATCTGTAATAAATGGTTATCTTATGAAATGTAAAGAAAGATTTTTACATCAGTGTTTAAGATAAAACAAGGTACATAATTAGTGAAATTTTAGTGTTATTTTTCTGAGGCTTAGAATAAAGGACAACTTCCACGTGTTTTCAATCTATGCGGGTACACATACCTACATGTTTAGAAGGCCCAATGCTTGTCTTAATTCCTCTGTTTTACTGTCTTGAGAGTCTTATTAACAAGGCTCCACACTTTGTACAAATTATATAGCTCGTCTTGCTAAGGACTTTACCAGAAGTCATGTGGGTGTGAGGTTGCTGTGCACTGATTTTTGACAGCTCCTGAGGATATTGAGATTTAAATATTTGGGAATGGTTCATAGTGCATTCTGGCAGCAAGTTTACAGGAGGGAGGGATATATTGTATTGTTTGCAGAATACAATGTGTTATGTCCTCCTTTGGGGGATGAGTTTTAATGTTTAAAAAGTTATCAATACCTAGGAACCCTGACCCAGCAAGATTAAAGCACCATTTTGAAATTTAATTGCACGACTGATGCCGCATATACTTGTAATGATGTGTGGAAGGCTCTACTGTTGCATTTTGCATAAGCACATGTTAGCAATTATCTGAGGAACCATCCATATAGCATCGTCTACAAACAGTGCAGGTGGTCTCTATTTATCAATGCAAAAGATTCCAAGAGAGATTGTTAATTGAAACAGACAGAAGCATTGAATAACTACATATCAGACTACTTTTTTATGTTACAAGGAGAAAAAAATACAAGTTTATTTACTCATAATTGCATTAAAGCTGGAGGAACCCATGAGCTATTGATGAAAGTTTACCTGTCTGTAGGATACAGTGTGGGGCTGTACAGTGGTCAGAGGTAGGGCATGAGGAAATCATCTCATTACACGACAGTTATTATTCTTTGACTATTTGGTTCAAACTGTTACACAAAACAACAATAAAATTCAGCCTACAAGGAGTAATAGTACAACCACATTAGGAAGAGGAAGGCTTGTAGTAAATGTTGAAAGAAGTTTTATTTATCTTAGTTATTAATTAAAATAATTGAAAGATCCATTAACAAGAGAAATAATTGATAAATTGTGACATAAATTCATACAGTTGAATACTACTCAAAAACAAGGCACCAACAATGTTTACACATAACAATGTAGATCAATTACATATTCAATGTGCACAGGAAAAGAGGCTGGGCACACAAATGTCAGTGCCATCCTGTGTGGATCTAGATGTGCAAGTTCAAACACAGGCAGAAGATACTTTTTGCTTTATTTATTTATTTTGGTTTTTCGAGACAGGGTTTCTCTGTAGCTTTGGAGCCTATCCTGGAACTCGCTCTGTAGACCAGGCTGACCTTGAACTCACTGAGATCTGCCTGTCTTTGCCTCCGGAGTCTTGGGATTAGAGGTGTGTGCCACAACCACCTGGTTCAAAACTGAAGTTTTATGAAGGGCCCGAACTTTGGCTATTTTTTGGAAGAGATCCAGAGAAGTTATCTTGAATAGAACTTTCTGATAAGAAGAAAAATTCTTTATTGCAATAAATGTCAAAAGATCCAAGCCAAAGTTAGTGATTTCAAGTTTTGTAAATTTTACAGACACACACACACACACACACACACACACACGTGTAAGGGTAGGTGGAGGCATAGATAACATCTCAGGCAGCACTGGTAACGTTCAGGTGAGTGATGAACATATGGAATGTATTATGTGGATGGATCTACTTACATAGCATATGCATGACATTTTCCATACCAAGCAGTTAAAATAAAACTACGATAGCTGCTTGTTAGGAGTGGGACATAAGCACCAATATACCAATTGTTTGGGGAATCGAGAGCTTGCCCTCTCAGGCACTGAGCAGAAATGAGGTAAAATGCATGGCATTCTGAGGCACCTGGTGGCAAAGAACCATACATATATGGGTAAGAATTCTCTTTTCTGTAGGAAGGGATTTGTCAAAATATGATTCAATGATTAAAAAAGTATGTGTGATATTTGAGAGAAATATTTATGTCATGAGTGGCCTAGTGGCCTAAGGGATGAAGAAACAGCAAGAAAAGAGTTTCCAGGGGGTTTCTAAGTGATGTGAGAGGATGTGAGAATACCCTTCCTGAGAGATATTTAGGAATCAGTTCATGATCGTCCATCTGGAAAGATTTGGAGGATGCCTGTGGAGGATGGGAGGCTCCCTAATAAGATGGATGGACAGTTTCTTGCCCCGAGGCTCTGAGACCCTGTAGACAACTTACTTACCATCCGTGCAGGGGACCGTGTGGCATCATGGCTTAGCAGTCGTTGATTTTTATCTTTTGTAAGATACCCTGTATAATGAGATGTTTAAAATTGTTCTAAGTTTCAGTTGTTATTTTTATTCCTAAAGGGAACAAGAAAGAAAAAGAAAACAAAAAAAATCACATTTGTACAAAAGAACCTTATTTCATAATGTATAAGCAGAATATATGTTTATGTGTATAAATACATATATCTCATTGAATACATGTGCTATGCTGCTACTATTTTTTGCATATTGTAGCTATAAAAAAACAAACCATATGTCATTACATTTATCCAACCTCTTGCTCATCTGGAAAGTTTTTTTTTCTCTTC